TAGAGCTATAGGGCTCTAGGGCGATAGAGCTATAGGGCTAAGGCTATCAGGCTATAGGGCTATAGGGCTATTGGGCTATAGGGCTATAGGGCTATTGGGCTATAGGGCTATAGGGCTATAGGGCTACAGGGCTATAGGGATGTAGGGCTATAGGGCTGTAGGGCTACAAGGCACCCGGGCACCCAGGCGGGCCGCGGAAATCAGTGACAAACCTCACCTAACCATATGAATTCACGAAGACCCCTAGGTACAGAGGCAAGCTCTGATTGGGGTTTCGAACTCTACCGCATCAACTGCACCAGTAGATGGCTCCACTCTGATTGCATCCCACGAGCTGGACAAGCCAGATTGCATCACGCAGGCTGCCTCACACGGATTGCATTACAAGCGCACACACACAACACGAACCTTGGGATGCACGCTGCTTCACAGTTTGTCTTATTGTTGCTTCTCGGCGATGCAAAAGTCGAAGGTCCAGTAAGTAACCCAGCCACCTGGAAAGATGCCGAGGGGAGGGGAAGTTCCCTGCTGATCGGCGCAACTGCATTTTCATACCAATCCTCCAAGACCACATAAACAACTACACGGTACGCGAACGTAAGTTCACGGATGTCTGCGCGCACCTCTCGGGGCGGATGAAAGAGGAGGATAGCAAAGGGGAATTCAGCTGCACGGGGCTGCTTTTTCCAGCGCCCCCCGGCGCAGCAGAGGCGGCATCGAGGCAGGTGACCATCGGCGAGGCGGAAACCAACCATGCAGCGGAATCCGAAATCACCCTTTTCCCCGTGCCCACCCTTGCGTCCGACCCGGATCTCTCGGGTCGGCGCCGGACCACCATCTCTCCTTCGTGGGGGCCTCTCGGGGTCTTATCTTGAAGCTTTTGGGTGTCCTCTTTGGGCTTCTAGGCATTCTTCTCGGGTTGTCTTGGCGCGTCTTGGCGAAACTTAGGGGCTCTCTCAGGGGCGCCTGGCGCCCCCTGGGCCGTCTTGGAGCTCTCTTGGGCCGCCTGAATGCCTCTTGCGGCGCTCTCGGGAGCCTCTTGGGACTCTGGTGAGGGCTCCCTCTGGGGGCCTGCTGCACCGCTGTCGGCCTTCCTGGGGCCTCTCCCTGGCGCGCGGTGCGCACCAAGGGGGGAGCGCCAAGGGCGGCGCCTGAGGAGCCCGCCTCGGGTCCGGCGCCCACCCAAAACGTGCCGTTGTCCGGAGCTCAGCTCCTGGGTCGAGCCGCGAAACACGCCCTCGAAGGAGCTGCCCTGATTGGGGAGGCGTAAGTCTCGGGGGAGGGGGGCTCAAATTGGCCGGACGCGGCCGTCGCAAAGCATGTCGAGGCCGAGCCTGAAATTTTGCGCGAGACCCCCCGATGCAAACACCTCGCGAGACCTGAACCATCAGTTTCGTGTCGGGACAATTGGAGAGCGCTGGCCAACTTGAGCCCTGAAAAACCTGAGTCACACCAAGATGCTGGAACCGCACACGGCCGGACTAGCGCATGCATCATTCGCAGGCCACGCGCCGCACACGCTTGCGGAAGCCAGGGTTGCCGGCCCTGCAAGGGCCGAGCGCTGGAAAAGCGTGCGGCCACACGAGTGTCCAGCTCTCGCCCAGGCCGGCCGCGCCATGTGCACAGTAGGCACATCCGATACGAAATACCGCTATCAAACTGTTCGTGAATCTTGGAGGTCCTTAGGTGCGCAAGAGAGCTTATGCGGACCCCTGGGGCCATCAGGGGACAGAACTGTCCGCGGGGCACCTGCTGACAGGCCGATTTCTTCTTTGCTGCGCCTACTGTAACCAGCTGCGTGGTAGAGTCCCAGAAGACTCGAGTCTTGCGCTTCCCCGACCTGAGGGATGAACACCCCCCAGCTGCGGTGGCGCAGGCTGCGGCGCCAGGTGCGGCCACGGCGACGGCGCGCAGGCGCCGGGTGGCCCGCCCGGCAACGGCCACCAGGGAAACTGCGGGGGGTGCAGGCCTGGGCGCCAGCAGGTCGGTTTCGACGGTGGGCGTTCCACGAGCGACACGTGGCGTTCCACGAGCGGCACGAGGTTCCACGGTCGGGCCAGGGTGGAGGCTGACCCCTGCGACAGGGACGATGGAGACCACTGAACGAAGACTGTCCACGGCGGAAGCGCAACCGAAAACCGCCCGAACCGACGGCAACACCGAAACCGAGAACGAAACCGAAGCCTAGCAGGAAGCAGCCACGCCCGTATAGTACAGCAACGGACGTAATCGAACCGACCGAACGCAGCCGACTGCGACGCAGCCGAACCGACCGAACCGCAGACGCCCTTGATAGGTCGCAGGCCGCGAACACCGAACTCACAGCTGGAACGCCACCCGCCACACAAGGGGAGCCCACGAGGAGGCAAGGGCAAATGGCCGAACCTGCCACAAGTGCAGGTGTCCGACTCCAGAAACCCTGAATCCCAAAAACAGGCATCCCTTGTGGCGCATATTTTGCTTCCGCAGACTTCCGCAGGCTTCAGTCGAGGGAGGGATGCCAACTGCGCTTCGATCCTCGAACGCTGGGCCCTCCCTGGAGCCCGCCATGCGCTGAAGTGGGTGACGGGGTGGGGAAACAAGATGGCTTCAGAAACCCTTGCTACGCCAGCGTCGACCTCTTGAAGGCCCGGGCTTCCGCCGGCGGAGCCGCCGCTGGCTTGCTTCCGCCAAGCATCGACTACACGCAAGAGTGACCCTAGGCAAGAGTGACCTCTGGCGCGCGGCTTGAATGGGGCCAGGGGGGGGGGGCCAAACCCAAGCGCGCGACACGCTACCATCACATCACGTTCGGCGATCGAGAGGCCCCGGTGGGCCCGCACCCAGGGTCGCGCCGGCGAAGGGCCTCTCTGACCTGCAGTCGGCAGCACCCGCAAACCTTCCGCCGGCCTCCGCCGAGGGCGGGGTGCCAACTCCTCGAGGAGAGAGGCCCTGGCTTGCTGCGCCCCGCACGGCCGGGGCCCGCGTGCGGCGGGGCGGTGCCCTGCCACGGCAGCCAGTGGCCCGGAGGCGGCGGCGCGCCGCGGGGATCCGCGGGAAGTCGGGGCCGGGAAGCGGCGCTGCGGAGGGGCGCCGCCGAGGCCGTCACGCACGGGGCTGGCGCAGGCATGTCGGGCGGCGGGGGCGATCGAGCCGCGGCCGCTGCGCAGATCACGCCGCCAGACCGGGCTTCCCTCGGGTGCGCGCACGCCGGGCAGGCCCGAGGCCAGCACCAGGGTACGTCCAGGAAGCGGCGACCCAGCGTACGAGATAATCGTTGCGGCCTGCGTGTAGAGACAAGGTGTGTACGATCGGGCTGCCAGGGGACAGATTCAAAATGAAGGCGAGGCAACTTCGAATCAGAGAACTCGGATGGGGTGGCTCGGATGGGTGGCAGTGGTGGGTGCGGGGTAGCCGCGGCGAAGCCTTTGGGGTAAGAGGATTGTAAATGTTATGCCGTGGAGCTGTCACACGGCAATCATGGCCTTGCCATACTGCCCACACGACGATAAGCATGTGCATGAGCCATAGCAAAAAAAACGAAAACGAAAACCGTAGCACCCCGCAATTGTGGATAAGAGTGAGGGTGCGCAGAGGACGTCGGCAGTCTGCGAGGCTCTGAAGAAGCCCGCCGCAGGCGCCTCACTTTCACAATTATGCAGTGACCCCGTCGCATGCGCCGACTTTTTCGTTCAAGCAATGTGGGTGGGTTGCGGGTTGGGTCGCGAGTGGGTCGCGGGTGGGTCGCGGGTGGGTCGCGGGGTGGGTCGCGGGTGGGTCGCGGGTGGGTCGCGGGTGGGTCGTGGGCTGGGTGGCGGGTGGGTCGTGGGCTGGGTCGCGGGGCGGGAGAACGACAACGAACAACAACAGCAACAACAACAGCAGCAAAACAACAACCGCAACCACAACCACAACCACAACAACAACCACAACAACATTGACGACGACAACAACGACAACAACAACAACAACAACAACAACAACAACAACAACAACCGCAACAACAACAACAAACGACAACAACAACAACAACAACAACAACAACAGCAACCAACAACACTAACAACAACAACAACAACAACAACAACAACAACAACAACAGCAGCAACAACAACAACAACAACAACAAACAACAACAACAACACCAACAACAACAACAACAACAACAACAGCAACAACAACAACAACAGCAACAACAACAATCACTTTACCCGAACGCTCAGTGTTCTCACCAGTGCCAGGGTTTTCATGCGACGCCAGCCAATACCCCCACTTTGTGGGGGGGCAGTGCAAGCTCTACCAAATATCCACACGACTCTTCGCCACCACCCACACCCAGCTTCCCGCCCTATGACGTTCGGACACTTCACTTCGTGGCCTGCGGACGACCGTGGCTACTACACTGGCGTGGAGTACACACCCACAGAAGTTGTTAGGACAGCGCGCGCGGGTAGAAATTTTGAAAAGTCGTGCAGGTGTTTTTCGAGGACCTACGGTGCGATTCGTGTGATTTTATGATGCGCGGTGCTAAAATTCTTAAGAAGCCCAATGGTTTTTGGAGATTTCGGCGTGCGCGCGCGAAGAAAAAACGAATGTGTCCCGCATGGTATTATTTGACAGGGATGATGGCCCTGGCAGGTGCGCAACCGTTGTCGCAGAAGTTCGAAAAAGTTGCTCGCAAAAGCCCGTTTGACAGAAATGTTTAAAAAGTGTTGGGTTTCCTACGAATCCGCAAGAGCGCGCGGGATGAGATTTTGACAATTTTTTGTTGAAAAACCATTGGTTTTTTGATGTTTTTATGTTAAAATCGCTGCGAACACTAAGCTTTTGGAAGGATTTCGTCTTGCGCGCGCGAATGTCCACTTTACCTTATTTTTTGCAAGGGATTCTTGAAATTTGATTATATTAGAACAAGAAATGTCATTTTATAGTGTTTTTTGCAAGGGAAAACGGATTACAACAAAACAACCGGATCTGGATCACATCGTTTTACCTGAGGCTTCCTCACGAAAATGATGAAAATGTAGCTGCGGCCTAGGCGGCGCAGGGGGGGCGCGCACCAGGGGGCCCAACAATAATTATTCTTTAGAATAAATAATGTTCAACAACACCAGCCACAGCACAACAACAACACAGCAACAACAGCATCAAAGCAACAACAACAACAACAAACAACAACAACAACAACAACAACAACAATCATTTTACCCGAACGCTCAGTGTTCTCACCAGTGCCAGGGTTTTCATGCGACGCGAGACAATACCCCCACTTCGTGGGGGGGCAGTTCAAGCTCTACCAAATATCCAAACGACTCTTCGCGACCACCCAAACCCAGCTTCCCGCCCTATGACGTTGGGACACTTCACTTCGTGGCGTGCGGACGACCGTGGCTACTACACTGGCGTGGGGTACACACCCACAGAACTTGGTCACTTATTCGGGGCGCGCGTGTGCCCAGCATCCTGCAATTGTGACATACAATACATGACACAGACAGACAGAGAGAGAGACAGAGAGCAGACAGAGAGAGAGACAGAGAGAGCGGAGTTGGTCACATTTTTGGGGCAAGTTCCTGAGATCGTCGTGTTTTTTGTTGGTCTTGCGCGCGCGAATGTCCACTTTACTTTTTTTTGCAAGGGAGTATTGAAATTTGATTATGTTAGAACAAGAAAAAGTAGCTCGCGCGAGCTCATGTAACATAAATGTTGAAAAACCATTGGTTTTGTGGGAGTCGGACAGCGCGCGCGGGATGAAATTTGGACATTTTTTTTTGAAAAACCATTGGGTTTTTGATGTTTTTATGTTGAAATCGCTACGAAACCTAAGGTTCTGGAAGGATTTCGTCTTGCGCGCGCGAATGTCCACTTTACCTTATTTTTTGCAAGGGATTATTGAAATTTGATTATGTTAGAACAAGAAAAAGTAGCTCGCGCGAGCTCATGTAACATAAATGTTGAAAAACCATTGGTTTTGTGGGATTCGGACAGCGCGCGCGGAAGGACATTTTGACAATTTTTTCTTAAAAAACCATTGGGTTTGTGATGTTTTTATGTTAAAATCGCTACGAAACCTAAGGTTTTGGAAGGATTTCGTCTTGCGCGCACGAATGTCCACTTTACCTTATTTTTTGCAAGGGATTCTTGCAATTTGATCTATTAAAGCAAGAATTTTCATTTTATAGTGTTTTTTGCAAGGGAAAACGGATTACAACAAAACAACCGGATCCGGTGACAATCCACTTTTCTGAAGCTTTCGCTAGAAAATGAAGGAAATGAGGCTGCGGCCTAGGTTTTGGAGGGGGGTCGCGCACCAGGGGTCTCAACAATAATATTTCTTTAGAAGTAATAATATTCAACAACAACAACAACATCAATCCGCACCGCAGAGCCTCACTTCAGCCACGCGCCCAGGGACAGCGAACGGCCGTTAGGCCCCCTCACTCTGACAAGAAGTGTACTAGCTGAATCGCGACGTACATTGCAGGCGCATCATAGGCCTCGGGAGGCCCCTGTCGAATCCCTAAACAGATCATGCAGTTGATGGAGGGGCCCAACAGTACATACATCGACGGCCCACCCTCCGGAAAACCTGTCCTCACGTTACGAGACTGGGGAGCGAAAACAAACGCGGGGGCGATACAGGCCGCTCAGAAGAAGTAGGCAGAAATATGCAGTCGGAAGGAGGCCATACCACATTCGGTGCCGGCCCGACGGAGACATTGGCGGCCAGAGTATGGAACCCTCGACCCGTGGAGCAGGAGCAGGAAGGCGCTCCAGGTTTTTACGGGGACCTGGCAGTCCAAAACCGCCCACAGGAGGGTGTGCACACCGTGCACCTGGAGGGCCCTGGACCTCGGGCAGAAGGACGAGGAGGACGAGGAGGAGGAGGAGGAGGAGGAGGAGGGCGGAGGAGGAGGAGGAGGAGGAGGAGGAGGAGGAGGAGGAGGGAGGAGGAGGAGGAGGAGGAGGAGGAGGAGGAGGAGGAGGAGGAGGGGGAGGAGGAGGAGGAGGCAGAATGCGCCACCGGCCCTCAGCACCGCCGAGCCCCGACCCCGCAAGATAATCGCCCTCCTGCCCGCGCCGGCGGCGCCGCTTCCGGGGGCCGGCCTCGGCCGCCTGCGAAGGGCTCCGGGGCTCTGGGGAGGGTTCCGGCAGCAGCGGCGGCGTCTCCGAGGCACTGGGGCTCCGGCGCTTGGGGCGCCTGCCGCCATGGCCAGTGCTGCTGCGGCCGGCGCTGCGGTGGTCCGCGCGCCAGCTGGGGCGGGAGGCCTCCGGCCGGCGCTGCGGCCCCGGGTGGTGCTGCTCGCCCTTGGCGTCCAGCCGCCGCCGTGGCTCCTCCGGCTGGTCGCCCTCCAGACGCTCGCGTTCGGCCTGCCTCAGCTGTGCGAGGCGCTGCCTCAGCTTGGAGACCTGTGCCGGGCCCTGCGTCATTTTGTCCCCGTTCACCGCCACGGCAGGCGGCTCAGAGCCAGCAGCTGCCGCCTCTATCTCCTCCATCTTCACCTTCTCGCGCGGGCTTACCTGTCGGCGGCTCGGCAAAAGTCATGCTAGACTCTGCGGTGCGAGACTGTTTTTTGACCAAGTGTTCGCCCAACTTCTGCCCCGCCACTGCCAACTCATACCAATTCTTTCCAGCCATACCTGAGACCTATATCACTCTCTCTGTCTCACTTGGGTCCAGAATGCGGATCCAGACATCAACTTTAACACCAGATGGCAAGGGACCACTTGGACACCAAAATACAAGAGGCACGCGTGCCAAGGATAATACAATCACGGATGTGGGACACTGGGAGATGGAGGCGGCGCCATCCTGCGGTAGTTTCAGGGAAGCGCACGAGTGCTGCGACACGCTGAAATATGGCGTGAAGAACTTGTCATGTCACTGTGAGCTAGTGGCGTGTCTATGACTCTTCGGGGCCAAGGTACTATTGGGCGTCTCTTGGGCTTATTCGGGGTCTTGTGTGGGCCCGTCTGGGGCTCTTCTGGGTTGTTTTGGGGCCATCGTGAGCTGTCCTGGGGACTTTTTGGCCCGTCGCGCGGACTCACGGGGGCCAGGGGCACGGCCAGAGCAGGGGGGGCACGGTCGGTCGGTCGGAATAAGCAGGCGGGGGGGGGGCCACGGGGCGGAAGGGGCGGGACAGGGGGGTGGCCCGGGAGAGGGGAGGGGGGGCACGGTCGGTCGGCGGGGGCCACAGGGCGAAGGGGGAAGGCACGGGTCGGTCGGTCGGTCGGAGTAAGCAGACGGGGGCCACGGGGTGGAAGGGGGGGGGCACGGTCGGTCGGTCGGTCGGAAATAAGTAGACGGGTGACACGGAGCGGAGGGGGGGGGGGGGGGGGGGGAGCGGTCGGTCGGTCGGTCGGTCGGAATAAGCAAACGGGGGCCACGGCGGATGGGGGGGCACGGTCAGTCGGCGGTCGGGAAGAAGCAGACGTGCGCTACGGGGCCGAGGGGGGGGGGCACGGTCGGTCGGTCGGTCGGGGCGGGGGGGGCGCGGGGGGGGCAGGGGAGCAGAAGGGCACGGTCGGGCAGGGGGGTGGCACGGTCGGTCGGACGGTCGGAATGAGCAGACGGGTGCCACGGAGCGGAAGGGAGGGCACTGTCGGCCAGTCGGTCGGAATAAGCAGACGGGTGCCACGGGGCAGAGGGGCGCGGGGGGGATCAGAGGGGGCGGGGGGGCACGGTCGGGCAAGGAGGGGGGGGCACGGTCGGTCGGTCGGTCGGAAATAAAGCAGGCGGGGGTCACGGTCGGGCAAGGGACGGTCGGTCGGTCGGTCGGTCGGAATAAACAGACGTGCGCTACGGGGCCGAGGGGGGGGGGGCACGGTCGGTCGGTCGGTCGGTCGGAATAAGCAGATGGGGGCCACGGGGCAGAGGGGAGGGGCACTGTCGGTCGCTCGGTCGGAATAAGCAGACGGGTGCCACGGGGCGGAGGGGCGTGGGGGGGAGCACGGGGGCTGGGAGGACAAGGTCGGGCAGGGGGGGGGGGGCACGGTTGGTCGGTCGGAATAAGCAAACGGGGGCCACGGGGTGGAAGGGGGGGGCACGGTCGGTCGGTCGGAAACCTGATCGGACAAGAACGGGAAGCGCGCCGCTTTAGTCTATTGGGCGTATTAGGCGAAGAATAAAAAGAAGGCGAGGACAACGAGCAGTCGATGACGAGGACGACGTGGCGAACGTGAGGATAGCGCGGAGGAGCATGAGGACAACGAGGAGGAAGAGAAGCACAAAAACGATGACAAAGAGAACGAGGGCGAGTACGAGGACGAATGCGGAGGGCGACGACGACGACGACGACGACGACGACGACGACGACGACGACGACGACGACGACAGAGGACAGTACGAGGCAATTGGAGAAAGACGTTGCTCCTGGCGCCGCGCGGGGTTCTCTTGGGGCCTGTTGGGGGCTTCTTGGGGGCCCCTTGGGTCCTCTTATGGGCTTCTGGGGTCTTCTTGGGCTGTCTGGGCGCGTCGTGGGGTTCGTGGGAGCTTTCTTAGGCCGTCTCGGCGCTGGGGGCCTCCTGGGGCGCTCCCGGGAGTCTCTTGGGGCCTTCTTGGCCCTTCTTGGGCCGTCTTGGGGTTCTCGTGAGCTGTGTGGGTGGCTCCTAGAGCGCTCTTGGGGGTCTCTGGGGGTCTTCTTGGGGCGCTCTTGGTCGGCGATCTTCTGACCCGGGTCAATCCAGACCCGGGTCAGCAGGAAGCCAAACCTGACCGGACAAGAACGGGAAGCGCCGTTTTTTATCCACCACGTGCGTCAGAGACCGCATTGGCGAGAACGTCAGAGAAACCCATAAACGCAACAGAACAGACTAAATGATGGCCTGCCGCGCTGGTCTGTCGAGGTAGTCTGCTGCCCTGGCCACATCATGGTGTCGACACCGTGCTTTTCTCTCGGCCACGCGGGCCCCCACCCGTTGTCGCCCAGCCTACTTTTTCTGTTCCAGCCTGTCTTGTCTTTTGTTTGTCCGTCGTCGTCGTCGCGTGCCTTTCCTTTGTCGTGGTCGTCGTTTTCATTATAATCGTCCGCTGTTGCCGTTCTCGCTGTCGCCGTCGTTATCATTTTATGATTGCGGTCGTTTTTCTGATTGTTTTTTTGTTGTTGGATTCCGTGTTCGGTTGTTTTTTGTGTTATGTTTGTGGTCGTTTTCTGTCATCGTTTTTTGTCGTAATTTTCGAGATCGTTATTGACGAAGACGACGACGACGACGACGACGACGACGACGACGAGCAAGAGGACCTTTGCCGGCTGGCTCGGGGTGCCCGCGTCCCTCTGCTGCCGCAGGCCGCCGCCAGCGAGTTCCGAAGTGCGGGCCCGTACCCCTTAGTTAGAGAAAAGTAAGCCCCAGAACCAACGGTGCACGCCGGAGGCGCTTCCCGTCATCCTCGAGTTCGTCTGGAGGCCGTCTCGAGGCCGTCCTGAGGACATCCTGGGCCGTCCTGGCGGCACCGTGGGTCGTCTTGGGGGCCGTCCTGGGGGCTCTTGGGGGTCTCTTGGGGCGCTTTGGGGGTCCTCTGGGGGGCCTTCGGGGTCTCTCTTGGGCCGTTTGGAGGCCCTCCGCGAGCGATTCCAAGATAATGCTGTTTCGGAGTCCCCTCCGGAGCCGATTTTTTGAGGATGTCCCGAGCGAAACGGCCATTTTTCCTGGCCACCCCGCCCCTGACCATTCGATGATCCTCGTTGTCTCCTTCTCCGCCCACCCCCCTCTCTCTCCCTTCCTCCCTTTCCTCCTCCCTCTTTCCTCCCCTATCACCTACGCGTCCGCATCGGCTCCTTCGGAGCAGACTCGAGGCTAAATACATCGTAAGGTACAGGGTCACAGACATCCGGGATTGAGAGAAGAAGCAGGCAGCCGCGAATCGAAAGGAAACTCTTCCGAACATGAAAGCACGGTGTTGCTGCAGTCCGCCGTTGAGAGAAGAAGCAGGCAACCGCGAATCAGAAAGGAATATCCGCGGACCCTGAAAGCATGGTGTTGCTGCAGAGCGTGAGACCATCTCTGAACGCCCTGTGGGCATCCCTGTTGCGTTTCCTGGCTTCGGCGCCGTCTTGGAGGTATCTTGGACGCTCTTGGGGCTGTCGTAGCCTCTGGCCTCTCGGGGGCCTCTTGGGGGAGTCCCGGGGGGGGCCTTGCAGGAAAAAAAAAAATGCAACGCAAATCTTCGCAAACCCAGGTCAGCCAATACGCGCGGCCGCCTCGCGGCCACGAGCGGCTCGCTAACCCGGGTCAGCCAGAGGGGGTCTTCGCAGGATCCTGCAGGATCTGGCGCCCTGGCTGACAACTGTTTGCATTGACCCCCGTCTCAAGGCTCCCGACTTGGGCGCTCCTTGGGCTCTCCGGGTCTTTTGGGCCTCCGTTGGGCCGTTGGAAAACACTCCAAGAGCGATTCGAACACGACGTCGACGTCTTGGCGTTATCTTGGACTGTCTTGGCGTTATCCTGGACTGTCGTGGGGCTCTGGGGGCCTGATTGGGGCCCGTGGGGAGCATTTCGGGAGCCTCTTGGAGGCTTCTGTGACCCTCTTGGGCTCAGGCGTCTCTCGAGGGTCTGTGGGGGCTCTCTTGGGCTGTCTTGGCGTTCTCTTGACGTTGCCGCTCGCTCTGGGAGCCCTGGTGTCGAGAATTGTTCACGTCACCGTTCGCTCGTCGGAGCCTTGATGTCACGAGCTTGTCACGTCACCGGTCGCTCTTGGGAGCCTTGGTGTGGAGAGCTTTTGCTTAATTCCCCAGAACCAACGGTACACGCCGGAGGCGCTTCCCGTCACCAGTGGAGGCAGGACGGTCCCAGCAGGTCGGAGGCCGTCTTGAGGGCAGCCTGGGCCGTCTTGGGGTCTCCGTGGGCCGTCTTGGGGCTCTTCGTGGGCCGTCTTGGGGGCCCCCTGGGGGCCATTTAGGGTCTCTTGGGGCCCTCCGTGGGCCGTCTTGGAGCCCTCCGGGGGCGACTCCAAGAGGATGTCGGTTCGGAGCCCCCTCCGGAGCCGATTTTTTGAGGATGTCCCGAGCGAAACGGCCAAAAAACAGAAACCTGACCGGACAAGAACGGGAAGCGCCGTTTTTTATCCACCACGTGCGTCAGAGACCGTATTGGCGAGAACGTCAGAGAAACCCATAAACGCAACAGAACAGACTAAATGGTGGCCTGCCGCGCTGGTCTGTCGAGGTAGTCTGCTGCCCTGGCCACATCATGGTGTCGACACCGTGCTTTTCTCTCGGCCACGCGGGCCCCCACCCGTTGTCGCCCAGCCTACTTTTTCTGTTCCAGCCTGTCTTGTCTTTTGTTTGTCCGTCGTCGTCGTCGCGTGCCTTTCCTTTGTCGTGGTCGTCGTTTTCATTATAATCGTCCGCTGTTGCCGTTCTCGCTGTCGCCGTCGTTATCATTTTATGATTGCGGTCGTTTTTCTGATTGTTTTTTTGTTGTTGGATTCCGTGTTCGGTTGGTTTTTGTGTTATGTTTGTGGTCGTTTTCTGTCATCGTTTTTTGTCGTAATTTTCGAGATCGTTATTGACGAAGACGACGAC